TGCAGCCGAGGCCGCGCCGGCGGCTACCGAGCGCTGCATACACGACGCGTTGCTAGGTGCGGCCAAGGGCTCGGGCACCGACACCGACGCAGGTGCGGAGCCCGGAGAGATGGAGGCCGGACTCCAGATGGACGAGGCGGCAGGCGTACTCAAGGACGACGGCGCTGCCACCGCCGGGTTCCCGCCCAGGCCTGCGGCCGCCACGGCCGTCGGGTTGGCGGAAGCGCTGGAAGCGGAGTTCGAGGACGAGGCGGATTGGAACAGGGGGGGGGTGACTGGCCGCTGCTTTCGGGCCCGGCTCTCGGACCGGGAAATTCTTCTTGGCGGGGTTCTTTTTTGTCCCGCTCCCGCTCTGCTGCTGCTGGCGGCATTTGGCGCGACGGTTCTTGAACCAGACCTGCAGCGGGCCGGTCGGGGAGAGAGCGTCAGCAGGCGAGCAGAGCTTGCTGCTCCCCGCCCCTGGGGCCCACCACCCCGCCTCGGATCACGCCTCGAACTCCTACCGAGGCCTCTGCCCCTCCCCATCTCTAGCCCGGCCAGCCCCTGCCCCAGCCCCAGCCTTCCCAGCTCCTCCGCCCGCCCCCATCCTACTGCTCAAAGACCCTCCTCTGGCCAAGTAGGGATGTGGACACATCCCCCGCCCCCGCACCCCCGGAGCAACTCTGCCCTAGGGTGGAGCATCTGCGTGGGTCCAGTCACAAGTCCAGCCATCTCTAAACTGCTGCTGCGGTCTGTTCCCAGCAGCCCGTGTACGTTTGGAGGCCCTGTCTTCTAGGGCTAGAGCGCAGCAAACAGCGGAGAGGCACTGAGCGGGCCGGGAAGTGTGGGACAGCCACCAAGTGTGAGGTCTGAGCCAGTGGGCCAGCGGGAGGCCCGGGGTGGGCCGGGCGAGAATTGGGGTGAGAGTAGGAGCAAAATGAGGAAGCTGAACAGAGGCAGTACTGGGAGACTAGGGAAAGAAGCCCCGGCAGAGTTTCTTTGGGCTTCTTGGCTCCGAGTGGGGAACCTAATAGTACAGTCAGTCAGGAAGCTCTCACTCATCTTGGAAGGCCCTGGAACTTGGCATTGCATTCCTGGTACTTTCTCGAGACTCCGAGAAAAGAAGGCGCGATAAAAGGCTCCCGAGGAGAGTTCTGAGTTATAATCCAAACAATATTTTTTTCGGGGCTCTTTCATCGCAAAGCCCAGAGCCCAGTTTTGCATTCGGCATCTTCTTGTGGCAAAGGAAGCGTCTGATTAAACTGGCACTACCCGCGGAGCCAACTCCCAGATAGGGCACCAGACTCCGGCCAAGCGCCACTCTTCTATTGTCAGGATTCCCGGGTTGCAAGGCCAGGGCGGAGGCAGAATTCAGGACCCTGAAGGAATTGGGGCAAGTGTGGGACCCTCAGGGCACTTTACCTTCGGAGCCTCTTTGTTCTCCCGCAATCCTAAAAAAGGACCTTTGATACCCAAAGCGCCCTGGGGCCAAGGGCCGGATCCAGGGCTCTAAGCTAGCTCCTTTAACTCTGTCCCCTCTTCCAGGCTCAGGACCAGAGTGGGGGGTAGGGGGTGGGGGTCTGGGAGGGGCCGCCCAGTCTGTAAGCCCGCCCCAAAACCAGACCCTAGGCCCTCCACCACCAGGCCCAGCACCCCTATCCTGACCTGGAGCGCCCGCGTGCGCACCTGGACTCTGGACTCCGGCAGGTTGATCTTGAGCGCCACCTCCTCGCGCATGAAAATGTCAGGGTAGCGAGTCTTGGCGAAGAGCGCCTCGAGCACGTCCAGCTGCGAGCGCGTGAAAGTGGTGCGCTCCCGCCGCTGCTTCCGCGGAGTGGCTGAGGGGACACGCGGGGGCGCCTCGGGTCAGCGGTGGCCGCGAGGACCCGCGCCAGAGACTCGGACAGGCCCCTGGCAGGCCCTGAGCGAAGACGTCGTAAAAGAAAGCCGAGCTCCCAGCAAAAGAGGCCGAGCCCGAGAGGCCACAGGTGGTAGGAAGTGCATGTGTGTGACCGCGAGCCACACTCTCCAAGGCTCCGGGGCTGCCCCCTTCCCTAACTCTCAGAGGTTAAGTAAGGAAGAGAAATTATGCAGTCTCCCTTCTTACACACACACACACACACACACACACACACACACACACCAACACACTCCCTGGCTGGAGGTTGGGGAAGGGGTGCACAGAGACACCACCTGGAAAACACTTTTCGAGGGAATAAATGGGAGCGAAAGAGTGGGAGCTAGAAAAGAAAGCCAGAATCCGGCTCAAGCCATCCACATCAGCAGTACAAAAGTTGGTGCGGACGACTGGTCTGGAGGACAATTTAGGGAGAGAGAATCCCCTTCCTCAGCGCAGCCAGTTGCTTCCTGGAAGGACAGCTCTGCTCCTCCTGTCAGGGCATGGTGAGTGTCTACTCTAGATTCATCATTCAACGAGGGGGGGGGGGCGGAAGAGATTCACACATGCACACACCAAAAAAAAAGCCACCCAGGGGAAACGAATCGCGATGCTGGTGGTGGGGCCACGACAGGAGACAGGTGGTCGGTAGGGCCCTGCCCGGGGTGTGCACGTTGCCGTTTCCACTGCCCTGGCCCACCTCACCGACCTGCAACTCGCGTGCCCCTGCATTACAAACAGACCAGGCAACCGGCTCCCTGGGCTGGCTCAGCAACAAAGTGTGTGCTCAAACCCAAGAGGCTGGAGATCCCCAAGATTTGCAGGAACTGGGGGTGGGTGGGTGGGGGCTGGTGCTCACCCGGATAGCCCACGGAGGGGTGCAGGAGGTCCATGGCGGGCCCGGCCAGGCCCAGCCCGTTCATGCCATATGGGGGTTGTTTGAGGTAAGACATCATGCTAACAGCCGGGTGAAGGCGCCCCGACGGATCCAGGGGGCCAGGCGCAATGCGGGGCTACCACCGCGCAGTCCTTCAAGCTCTGTTGGGTCTTGGGGCTCGGCCTGTGGAGACAGGAGACACAAGGAAAGAGTCATTCGCAGCCATCTCGGCTTCCTGGTCTTGTCAGAGGCAAGGAGCCACGGGGTGGGGAGGGGACACAGGCTGTGGACTGCGCGGGGCGGTCAATTCGGCTCTACTAGGCCTTAGTCCAAAGACCAAGACTTCCTCAAAAAAACAAACTTTTCTGGATCGGCGTCACCTCTTTTCGTGCCTGGAATGGGCCAAAGACTCGTAGGGCATCGCTAGGAGTGAGGAGAAGTTAAAAGCTGGACTACGCTGGGAGGTCAGAGTCAACCGCGGCGTGTGCGAAGTCCCAAGTGTAGGCAAAATTCTAGCCGGGGAGAGCCGGCCCTACACGGCACAGCAAATGTGCACTGGGCCCCGCTGCAGGCGCCCAGAAGATGAGGGGCTGTTTCATTCTGTTTGAAATGTTTTAGGAAGCGAGACTGAAAGATAGAGATTACAGAGAACCAAGGTGAGGCGCTAGCAGCACCTGGGCCTCTCCCAGACGCGAGGCGCACGGAGGAGAGTGCGCTTCTTCAAAGGACTCAGCGGCTGGTGCGGGCCCCAGAGCCCACAGCCACCCCTCCAGCTGGCCTCTCTGTGCTTCGCCGCTGTAAGATTGCTCCCCCGAAATCCCACTGCACCCCAACCGCGGTTACTGACCCAGGTCCCCCACAGCCGGCCAGAAGACGCAGAAGGGGCCACTGTAGCCTCGGCGGGTCTGAGACACGGCCCAGGTTAGGGGTGCCTCGTCGGAGCCGCAGGCCTTTCTTCACCAGCTCAAGCGGTCCTTCTTTCTACCGGGTCCTGGTGTGGACAGTGGGGTCCGGGCGGGGACTGTGGCCCAAAGGGTCTGGCAGATTTGGGAGGTTTGAGGGCAGCAGGTCCCGTGCGCTCCCTGCCTACCCTACTAGCTGAGCCCGCGGTCCCAGCACCCTATCCGCGCCCGAGAACTAGGCCTCGGCGGCGTCGCTCGCGCTGACCCGGGCTGGAGGGTCGAAGCTTGGCTCCCCCAGTTGCCCCGAACCGGAGGCACCGCTCTCGGGGGTCAGGAAGCGGCGTGGACCAGGGCCCTAGAGGACCTGTCGCTTCACCGAGCTTTTTGGTAACTCCACGCAGGCCTGGGAGCCGCGCTAGGGAGTTGCAGGGTAAGAAGTTGGAGCCAAACAAGCCTCCCGCTCCTGTCCTTGGGGACCCGCGGCCTGCGCTGGGGAACCCAGTTTGCAGGGAAGGGGATGAAAGGGAAACAGCCGGGACTCCCGGGCCACGAGGACTCTGCTCGGCTGCGGCGTGAGTTTCAAAGACTTTCTTCAAACTTAGCACTTCAGCTCGGTTTCTTCGGAGGAGGCGGGGGCGCGGGGCCGCGGCGGAGCTCTGGGGTCGGCGGCGCACCCCGACGGGAGCCAGGCCGCCCCCCAGCCTCGCCCACCTGCCGGGACCTGGGAAGCGGGGGCCCGACTGAAGAGGGCGAGGCGAGAGCACCCCGCGTGTTTTCAGAGCCCAGGGCGGCCCCGCGGCTTCCTCCTTACCTGCCCTCAGCTGCCGGGACTGCTCACCATCTACTTCGCGCCCTCACCGACCCGCCAGGCAGCCAACCTGCAAAACAGAGCAGCAGAGGAATTCGTCACCCGCCGGCCTGGAGGCTGTCCGGGACCCCCGGGTTTCTTTCTTTCCCCAACTTCCCTCCTCCTTCCTCTCTTTCCACTGGCTTTGTGCCTATCCCTCCAGGTTTCACTTTATTGCACAGACACTTTGTTTGCAAAGCCCTACACGCTCCCGAGACAGACGCTACCTCGCCCGGGACCACGCCGAGGGGCCTCGGGGGAAAGGGCGGGGGGGAGAGGGGCAGAGGTGGGGGCGGCTCGCAGTTGCCGCTGCGGTCCCGGTGCAACGTGGAGGCGGTGGGGGTCGGGGGGGGGCGGCTGGGGAAGTCCTGCAGAGGCACTTTGCAAACTAAATAAATCAAGCGATTTACCTTGTCGGAGTGGCTTGTCTTGCTCGGTTGTTTAGGTGATTGGAAATGTAGCCTGATGAAGATTGATCACCTTTCTACTGCCCTCCCCGGGTATGTGAACGCGAGGTGAGTGCGTAACGGGGCGAGACTGCCAATCCCGGGCCCCGCGCTGGCTGAGTGACAGGGAGCCGGGCAATGGCAGCCCGAGCCCGGGGTTACCTCCGCGCGCCCCCGCCCTCCCCCGCCCCCTGCACCCCGCCCTCGCCGCCCGCCCGCCCCGCCCCGGTCGCGAGCTAACTCCAGGGCTTGGCTGGCAAACGAGGCACAGAGCTAGGCAAGGAAGGCGTGCGCAGTGCCCGAGCCCAGGTCGCGGAGAGGGGCGCGGGTCCCTAGGCCGCCCTGGGCCCCCCGCCCTCCCCTCGCCCTTTCAGCGCCCTGGAGGGAGTGGCAGAGAGGAGGCGAGGTGCTGGAGAACCGGTTCTCTCGCTCCCCCGCACGCCACCCGGCTGGGCGGCCGGGTTGTGGGCGCGAGGACTCCGGCGCCGCGTGCTGGAGGAGAGCGGGCCCCCGGCCCCCGGCCCCTCGCGTGGCGCCGCGGGCCCCAGCGTCTCCTTCTGTGCCGCCACCTGCAGACGGACGCCGCGGGCGGCTCGTGCCGGCACAGGCTGCTCCGCCGAGCGCCGGCACAGCCCGGGGTGCGCAGAGCCCGCCTCGGCGCCTCGGTACTCCCGCGCTCGGGAACAGCACCCCAGGGGCGGCCGCGCCACGTACCTGGTCCTCGGTGTCTCCTGGGGTTCCCTAGCCCCCCCCCCCAAGGGTGTTTGCAGATCTTAAACGCTTCTTCTGCAACGTCGGAGCCCGGCGTCTCCTCCCCCTTGCACACACTACTTCTGAATCGAAAGATTGTGATAGGAAACTTTCTCTTTCCTTCTGCCAGGGACAGTCCGGTGGGAAACTTGGCCACAGACCCCTGCCTTCATTTTCCTTCCCACGTGCCACAGAAGGAGCCTCCCTGGGGCGACTTCCCCGTGTTATTCGTACTGGCGAAGCCCGTTTCCCAGCCGAACAAACTTCTCAAACACATCTACCTGGGTGGACTTTGTAAAGCGCAAAAAAAAAAAAAAAAAGTGTTTTCGGCGCAATCCTGAGCAAGGCAATTCTTTTAAATGGCACCTCCTCCTGAATATTAGGCAGGACTTTACTGCCTTTCGAGGAATTCCTACCCCTTTTCCCTAATCGCCGCTTCCCTCCACCCCTGCGGGCGGAGAGAAAAGTTTGCACGGGAGTCGGTTTGCGGGCGAGTCCGGGAGCGGCCGGGCGCATCGCAGTGGGAAGCGCCGGCGCTGCCGGGGCCGCGGGGTCGGGCGCCGGGAGCCGGCCGGGCGCTGGGCGAGGAGAGGCGAAGGGGGAGCCGCTGAGTGAAAAGGGGCCGCGGCCGCAGCTCATCAAAGTGCTTCCCCCTCCCCCCAGCGACACTCTCCTTTGGAGTCCGAATAAAATACGGTAACAGAATATGATGGAGGGCACACTGTTTCCTTAACTGCTTCTCAAAGGACCCGCGAGATCTTCTTAGGACCTTTAATAAGGCTTTGGTCGGTTCTTTTGTTAATCTCTCAAAATCAACTCCTTCTAATTGAAGTTCGAGCTGAAAGCGAGCTAATGTTCAAAGAAAGTGGCCGCCAGACCAACGAAATTACATTTTTTTTTGGACGATGAGGGAACATCTAATCAAAGGGGCCAAGGAGGAGGGGTGTGAATGGGGAGTATGAAGGAGAAAAAGAGGTTTTACAAGATCCTTCTCTGGTTCACAAAAGTCAGCGACACGGGCGTTTCTCTCCAGAACAAAGACACCGCGGCCCATTCACAAAAGGGAGAGTAAGAGACACAGAGAGAAAACAATAAAAGAAGCGAGAGAAAAGGAAAAAACATGAGAAAGAAAAGTTTAACAAGGAAGAGACTGTGCGGAGCGCTGCGCTGACCCGCCTGAGCTACACCTTAGGCTCGCGCAGGCCCCGGCGGGGCGCAGCCCTCAGGGCCGCGGCTGGAAGCCCTCCCCCCCCAGGCCCACCCCGCCCCACCCCGCCCGGAGCTGGTGCAGAGGTTTAAAGAAAGAAACGAAATACACCCCCTCCTTCACTCCAGGGAAAAGGCGCGGGCTGGAGCGCACTTGTTTTGGGGGGAGGAGGGGCGGGAAGCGTTTGCGGGCGCCCTGGCAACGTCCGCGTCCAGAGCTGCCCCAGCCGGGCCTGCGCGCTGCGCGCCTGGGTTAGTCCCCAGGGCCGGGGTGCGTGCCCTGTCTCGGACCCGCCACCCCTTCCAGTCCCGCTTCCTCGGGCCCTGTTTCGCCTGCAGCTGCGGCGCGGGCCGAGGTCGGGGCGGCGAGGTGGGGCGCTGTGGGCGCTGGAATGTGCTCGGCGGTCCCCAGGGCCCAGCGCGCGGGAGCCGCCGCTCCCGGGTCCAGATGCTGCCGTGGTCTCGAGAAGTTGGGAGGAATCGAGTAGCAGGATCCCTCCTCCTCCACACACACACCCCTAATGAGGGTATTTATCTAATCCCAAATTGCAACCCATAAAACCCCGGGATTAAGAGAAGAAAAAGAGAGAGGAGAGGGGAGAGGGGGAGAGGGAAGAGGAAGGGAGGGAGAGAGACAGAGAGATGGAAAGTTTCTTGCACTCGGCGTGGAGGACTGAGGCGGCCGTCACTAGGCAAATGTCCAGGTGGGAGACGCTGGGCTAGGAGCCGCGACCCTTCCAGGGACGGGAAGAGAGGGGGCATCGCAGGGGCTGGGCTAGTAGACCCAGCCCAGACCCCGCGGCCGGGGAGGAGGCGTGGAGCTGGGCTCCGGAACCCGGATCCAGCATCCAGGTGACCTCGAGGCCGGGCCAGTCTCTGGAGGACACTCGGGACAGGGGGAGGGGCCGTGGGATGCTGGCCAGGGGCGGAAGTTCTGCGCCGGCCCGTGGGCTGTGCCCAGGCCAGCCCGCTGCCCACGCTCCTCCTCCGCGGGGACCCGGGCCCACAGCTTCTTTTCCCGCAGCGCGGGCTCTCGGTTCCCGGCCTCCCGGCATCTGGGTTCGCGCCTGCGCTTGGGAAGCGGCACCTGGGCGCACGTATCTGAACGAGGCGCCCTCGCCGCGGGCCAGACCCGGCTAGTCCCGGGGGTCCGCGCTCCGCCGCCACTGCGGGGCGTGCGGGCGCCACGAAGCAGCCCAAAGGAAAACCCGCGAGGCGCGGGCCTGGGGCAGTAGGAGCAGGGACAGGGGCAGCGAATCTGGGGCTTGGTAGGTCGGAAGCGGCTTGGGGAGCCGGCTCTCTGGGAGGCTTTCGGAAGGGAAGGTTCCCCGAATCCAGCGTCAATGGGGTGGGTGACGCTGATCGCCCCAACCTCAGGCTGCTCCGGGCCGGCGATTTGCGTCTGCCGGCTTCCGGGGGCTTAGAGCGGGCTTCTGAGAGCCTCCCCGAGAGAGCGGCTGCTCGCTCTGTTCTCCTGCTCCAATAAAGAGCACAATTACCAGATTTCATTGAGTTCCGATAACTTTTCAATAACTTGTTAAAATCCTTGTCATGAAGAAACTACCGTAGCAAGTTATCATTTTGAAAGACTGGCAACTGAAGGTGGCTGCATGCTTTTGAACGTAATTTATGTGTATGTGTGCATGTATACATACTTGTGTGTATATGTATGTGTGCATATATGTATGTGTGATCGAGGCCAAAGTATAAATGCTAGTGGACTGTTCTCTGTCTCCAAACTTGTTGAATTAGCCTTCTTTGTTTTGGACACCTCTCTAGAGGAGTAATGGGAAACTACCATAAAATCGCCAATTTCTGTTGCCTAGAACTTCTTGTTAAAAGTTCCTTTTCCCTCATATTTCTCTCTCTCTCTCTCTCTCACACACACACACACACACACACACCTGCATGCACTCACTCCCCTCCAACAATAACTCTCTTCCCCTCCAACAATAACTCTCTTCCTTTCACTTCAGCACCTACAGACTTGCCAGTTATCAGAAGTCATAGTTCACAGGAGTGCAAAATTACAACAATTTAAAATAATAACGTGGAAAATTCATCAAGATATTAGCTTTTTTTCAGTGCTGTGGAATAAAAAAATTCCGCAAATCTTTAACAGAGATGACCCTTTACATAAGATGATAGTTTACACTGCTTAAGAAAATATGACTAATTGCTTTTCAAATCCAGTTCCTGTGTCAGCAGGGCCCCTCCAGGACGGTGTATCCTTGCCCTGTGTTCAGAAGGACCATTTTTTTTCCACATGAAGTCTTACAGATACACAAGCTTCTCTTCAAACCAGTGTTATTCTCATTGCAAGGAAGTAGCAGAGTGTTTAAGGTAAGAAAGTTTCTGCTTTTATTGAAAATTTATATATGACTTCAATATTGTAATAAATAAACAGATAACCATTTTCACACAAAAAAATGACAATGCTATGCTAGAGAAGAAAATATTAATTGGGAGACTTACTCATAGTGGCAAGACAGACTTTTTATCAATACAGAATAAATATTAACAGCATTCTTGAGCCAATGTTGAGAGCTAACAAAATGTAGGAACCAAGCTAGATGTAATAAATAATTATCCAGAGAAAAAGATGGCGCATTCTCAGAAGATAAGAGCTCTTTGTAAACTGATGCATGTCAATTAGTCCCATCCTCAAAGCTCACCTTTAAATCACAGGACTAGTCTCAGGGCTATGTTAAAGGGCCATCCTCTGAGGAGAGGAGAGGAAAGGAACTCTATTATCCTTACAGTGAAATGCAAAACAACTGCAGAAAATCCCACTGGTAAATAGAACAGTTTAATAAGTAAATTGAATATGATCTAACTATAAAATTTAGGTAACAGAGTCAGGGTTACATATGGCAGGACTGGGAAAAAATCATTCATGACATTTTTCTTATTCCCCTCTGACCCCCCTCCCACCATCATTATGCTATTAACAACAAAAAATGTTTTAAAATTTCTCTCATCAAAAAATGAGGGAAGGGTGTTCTTTTCTTTCTTCTTTGAACAGTTTCTCGAACACTCCCAATACCAATCATTCACAAGGTATCTGTGCAAATCTATTTCACATGATTTCAAGGAAATGATTAACTCACACAAAAATCCTTACACAAAGCTATGTTGGAGCTCTGTATATTTAATCTGGAAAGGAGGGAGGAAAAGGGGTGGTGGTGGTAGCAAAGAAGTACAATCCAGCCAAATGAAATGTTAAGTTTTAAATCAACAACGAGTCTGACTTTCTGGTCTGTGGACCCAAGACTAAAATTTTGGGATATAGTCTGGTCCAGTTGCTACTGAAGAACACATTTCTCTTCTTTCTTGGCCATCTTGCCTTTGTTTTGCTCCAGAGTTCGCTCCAAATGCTCATCTTCTTCTTCGGCCCTGGAAGTCAAACAGGAAATGAAATTATTTTTCTTCGTGGAGGACAGAGCAGCACGCCCCTCTTCCCAAGGCCCAGCGGGTGCAGATATCGCGGGTCCAGTGGGAGGCTGTCCGGCCCACCCGAGACCTCTGGACTGAAGTTTCAGAAAACTTCTCGGACCCTCAGCAGGCGCAGAGCCTCCACCCAATCGCACCGCACACTCACTGCTTTTCTTGTGCATCCAGGTCCCTGACGAGCGCGTCACGCTTGTTCACCAGGGCCACCAGCTCATCCAGCAGGAGTTGCTCGCGTCGCTTCTGGGCCTCAGTCTTCTGCCAGTCTGCAGACAGGAGGCTCGTTATCCACCCGCAGGACCTCTGCACACTCTCCCTCCCCTTCCCGCCTCTTCCAGTTTCCTTGTATTTCTCCACAAACCATATTATAGAACTACTAGTTAGTGTTTTGTAGGGAGTTTGGCCATCGAGATAACGACTTCACCCCTAAAGCCCTGCTTTCTAAAATTTCCCGCAGATGAAGATGGCTATGGCCGGGCTGGAACCTGAAAAAGAGACCAGGTGTGAGCCGGTGGCCAGCCGAAGGTGCACAACCGATTTAGCCAAAGTGGGGGAGGGGGAGCTGGAGGCCCCGAAGAGGCCCGCGCAAGGCTAGGTGGTGGGGGATGTGGGTAAATGAGGGGGCGGGAAGCAGAGATGGGCGATAAAATCATTCTGAAAAGGCTAGAGAATCAGCCTGAGAACCTATCCTCCTCCCCCGCCCCCATCCTCACCCCATACAGCCTATTCTTCACTAATTTCCTCTTCGCTCTATTTTAGCAGTTGGATGTATTTCACACTGGGCGCCATATGCTTCACAATAACTTTAAAAGTAGTGAATCGGCTAATTAGCATTTTTCTTTGAAGTAAAAAATAAATTTGCTCTGCAATATTACACTGCAGCTCTCGATCGCATCACAGCCAGTTTTCTTTTGGAGAGGTTGGCTGGGTGATTTCAAATCAAAGCACTTTTGCAAAGGAAAAATTACATACTTCTTTTTGAAACCCCATGTTAAAGGTTGGAAAATCCGATGAGCAGTGTTCTTTACATGGGTAGGGGCAGTTTTTTGAAGGTTTGAAGTCCCAATAATATATTTCCAAATCTTTGCTGGTCTGATTATTTTCTTAAGATGAGCAGCAGTTTGGTTTGATAAAAACAGAACCTAATCGAACATTTAAAGCACTTTTGTAACCAAAGCCAACAGCTCTCTGGCCAGACTGTAAGGGCTTGTAGCTGTCAATCAATCCCCAGTCTACCCCGCCTCCCTCATTAGGAAGGTAAACAATGAAAAGAAGAAGTAGATGATGAGGCAGATAGCAGAACAAATGAGGACCTAGAGGGAAACAGGACACCAGCTTAAAAACAAAACAAAACAAAAAAAACAACCGTGGCCACTGACTCAAGCAGCCCCTCCCCCAGCAAATGCACTTTCCAAAAAACAGAGAGAAGTGCAATCCTTTTGGGTTTCTCTCTTCTCTCTCCATTGCCCTGGGCAATCATGTTAAAACTCACATGGCTGGTGCTTATTCAGATAAACCTAACAATGCACACCGCTGGTTACCATGTGAATCTTCACAAACCACACAAGAATGTGCTGGTTCAAATCCCCCCCACCCCCTCCAAAGCAAAATTTATTCAAGACAGCAAACTGCTCAGCAGCTTTATGAAAGCAAATGGTGCTAGAGGGAATTCTATCCTGTATTTACAAATTAAAAATTAGATACATCATCATGCAATAAAGGTTAGAATAGCAGCAAGAAGCTAGAACGGTTTATTCAATTTTATCATTATTCCTTTCATTATAAGCTCAAATACATACATACAAATTTATAAAACATACCATATACTAATAATCCACATCCGATACAAAACATCACACAAATAAATGGTCACAACGCATTCTCATTAAAAAAGAAATAAAATATTCTATAACATGAAGAGGAATAAATTATTACTATGAAAAGGTTTTTTTCTAAATGTAAGAATTTAAAAATAATAATGAAACAGCAAGACTGAAAAAAAGCCATATTTTATCATAATTTTATTCTTTGAATTAAAATGCTGAGTTTCAGGAATGCTGGACAATTTTCTAATCTGGGTCTTGTTCTTAATCAGTCTCATTCTACATAGTAGATATTTTAATAGAGCTCTCCAGGGTGCAAGATCTTAAAGTTCATCTAATCTAATTTCAGGTAACTGTAGTTTTAGAAATATTAACTCAGAGAAAAACCCAGTAAATTTGTAAAAGATTTGTAACTAAATTTTATAATTATTAAGATTACTAGTTTTGATGAATAGTAATTTTTCCATTCCAACCTGAAGAAATCATGTTGATTATAAGCTTTAGTTTATAATCCTTACTTCCAAAACATTTTGATATAACTGGGAAATTTTCTCTGCCATACACTTAAAAAGTATAACTAAATTGAAACGTACATTTTTTAAAATAACAATTTTTTTAAAAAAACAGACATTGAATTATCCCTTCTCTGCATTTGACCAGTCACCTTTAAGGCTTTAATTAATAATTAGAAATATCAAGTTTTCTTTAATTTTTAAAAAACAAGGCTTTAACAATATGCATGAGAGAAAACTTTTTAACACCTGATATATTGAAATTTTTTTAAAATCTTAACTTTTCCAAGCTGAATTTCCTGTAACTGTAACAAAAACATTTTAAAATTATGAATATTTAGGTAATTTTCATCATTTCACAGTCAAATTTAACTGATATTAGAATTTAAATTGTAGAGCAAATAGCTATCTATGTATAGTGAGTACATTTTACAGTAGCAAACTATTTTTACTTCGTACTTGCTTTTCATAGGAGTAAATTTATACACACACATATGTATCTGAATGCTAGCTTGAGAAATTAAACTATTTTGATGATTTAAAAAAAATTAATACATTTAAAACTGATCAAAATTCACATCTGTATGTGTAAGTCTAAATTTAAAAATTAAAAAAATCCTTTTAAAATAGCTTCTCCCAGACATAATGTTATGTTTTAAAAACCTGTATGTAAGTTTATGTGTTACCTGTTATACATTTTAAGAAAGGATTATTCACCTATAGCTCCACTCACAGCTAGCTGGCGAGGTGACTTTGGCTTGGGCAGACTACAATGTGGGTTCTGATTAATTTAAAGATTCCAGTGTACTTTTGCTACAAGCCATACTTTTGCAACAAATAGGATTAAGTTTTGATGCTGCATTTGAGCCAAATTGTTGAAATAAAGAGATTCTGTTTATGTTCATGTGCACTGAGCTGTTTTGTTAATTTGAAAAAAACTCTTTTTTTATATAGGGTCAATTATTTATTCCCTGATTCAGTTTATTTGCTGAAGTTGATAATTACCTTGGAAAAAGGGCAAAAGAAATACCTATAAACATTTTAACAGAAAGGACCTACAGTTGCCGTAGTAAACCTTCCACCTTGCCACTATAAATAAGCCTGGCACTTTGATGAAAATTAACACTAGTTTTGTAAAGAGCACATTGGGGGATTGCAGTCAAGTCTTATCTTTAGTTCCAGTCAACTAGCAATCCTGAAAGAGTTTGCATCATCATCAGAGCAGGCCATTTGATAGGATTCTACCTCTGTACCTAATCAATCTATGGAAGACTGTGGCTGTGCTGTGCAACAAAGCTAAAATAGATTTACAAATGGGGTTTTAGGGGATAAGCTCCTCCACAGGATTACATATTGATTTTAAATATAAAAAGCTTATCATATAAACCATAACTACAAAAATAGTGAACCTATGCATAAATCCCTTTAGAAGAGCACCCACTTCAAACTCTAAGCCAAGAATAAATCAAGATGTACAAAATCCTAGAGAAGATCCATTTCTTGTGCAGAAAATGAACACACCACTTTCTAAAAGCCCACCCCAATGTGTGCAGAAATGAATTTACCTTTCCTGAGGGGGCATTAAGTAATCTGGAACAAAAAAAACTATAGGAAAAGTATCTGAATGATGTTTGCTAGCTTAGGGGATCCTATAACTTAGCTCAGTAGAGTGAAACTCCTGCTATGAAAAAAAACTTAAGGGGAAAAAAAGGTAAAACACAGACCAGAGTGATTATGGATTTTCAGAAGAATGGATATGTTGAATGTTGTTATTATTTTGCTCTCAAACCAAGCTGTTAATATTTTGTTCTGTGTGCTGTGGCTATTAATATTCCGTGCTCTTCTCCTGGTGAATGGTTTCAGCAGCAGATTTATTTGAAAATATTTTAGTTTATTTATTACAAAAACCATCATATGGCTACTAAGTAAATTTTTAAAAGAGATGGGCAAGAACAAAGCAAAGCAAAACAAAACCAACTAATGCTGCCTGTTAGTGTGTCTTTCTGTGGTGTTTTAATACTCCAAAAGGCTACTAACCTAATCACATGTATGTCCATTCTAAGGGTTGGCTCAGAGGACACAGTCTTCACAGAACTGATTATCAGGACTGTCAGTACCTCTCCAGGACAGCTCAACCCTAGTACTGCCCAGGCTAGTGCAACAGGCCTCTCTAAGAAAGGGTCTCTATTGGTAATCAACAGGCTGCTTCTTTCTTCAAGTCTCTTTTTTCCCCTCAACCAGCAACAGAAACTTGTTGAGAGATTTGAGGCACAACCACATATGGGACAATTATATTATTTTTAAAGAAATCAAAATCGTTTGAAAAAAAATTACTTTTTCCCCCTCTTAAAAATATATGGCTTTCTACCGGTCTTCCGTGTGTATAAGAGCAGGCAGAAAAAAATGTAAGATTATTTAAGATTGTATGTCTCGTATGTAGGGACAGGACTGCTGATGAAATGGGATCTTTTATATGTGTCATGGCCCTCCTTTTAAGATGGTATATGGTAATAATACTGGTTTTGGGATAGAAGCAATATCTGCCTTAAAAGTCCACTGTATTGTATCAAGTTGTGTTTTAGGGATGATTTAATTATTATACATGAAAGAGTGGGCAAATTCTTAATACTCTGTATTGAGTGTAATGTATAATGAATCTATAGAGAATAAACTGAATAATGAGTTATATATTATATACTACATATACATACATTTTAAATTGCACATATAAAATACATACCATACCATGTAAACATATCTGCAGTAACTACCTTTCACTAAGTATTTAACTTTCCAATTTCTTAAAAATTATACAATTACAAAAATTATATCCAGAGGAAAAATATCATTTAATATACTTCTATTTTTTATTTCAATGATAAGTTTCAAAGAACTTCTTAAATATTTTGACAAATTTTATTCAGATAGATAATCATTATGCTTGCTATTAAACACACGATTTTCATTATCAGTGGTATAATTTGATACATTTGGATAGCTACTTGAAGGAAATTAGCTATCTGAAACCTTTTAAAATCAGTCTGATTTCTAATGAGGATGTATAAATATTGTTAGTCATATTTATCAAATGAGATAATGTACATAAAAGTAAAAATAAAACTTCTATAATTTTAAAATATGCTATTTAGATAAATAGAATGTATTTTATCTAATAACAGTGTTAATTAAAATATTTTAAAAATGTTTTCACTTGCCTTCCCACTTACAACCTTAAACTTCTAGTTTTTAAACTAATTAGAATTGACTTATTATGGATCAAGTACCTTATCAGGTAAAGAAGGAAATTACCATGGACAGTCAATGGGTTAAGAGGTCAATATAGAATAGGAAAATCAATTTGCATTGATTAGACAAAAGGTCCATTTTACAGAGCCCAAAGGATTAGCTTTTAAGCAGACAGACATCTTTAACTATGAGACATTTTCAAATAATAAGTATAAAGAGAACAGCATTCTAAAACACCTAATTATTTTTAAAAAATCATATATAGTAAATGCCATAGTTAAGATAGCCAATGTTTACTGATATTATGAACTATGCTTAGGATTACTACATAATTCATTTAAAAGCTTTATGAAAAGTATGAAAGTGTTTCATTTATCTCTTATGCCAATCTTTGCCTGAATAATCGCTTAATAGGAGCTATAGTAGACTGACAGTGAAATATTTCAGTGTTGACATCAATTAAATATTAAGGTAAAATTTAGATTTGAAATGTGAAAAATCAAAACGGTAAATCTTACCCAAACCTCTCCAGTGTAAACAACTTTAAATTGCACATAAAATGTAATTAAATCATTTAACTCCTTATATTTTCCATTTTATTGACATTTAAGCTTACTGACAAAACTTAAGAAAATCCTGTGTTTAATAGCTAGCATAACGACTATCTGAATTACTAGTAAGGTCCTTAGGTTTTATATGACTAATGCTTTTTGATGCTAAGGCATTTATTTGCAAATTCTGTAGGTCCCTAGTCAGATCACACCTAGGGAGACAAGAAGTGTATTATACTCTTTAAATCTCTCTTGACAATTGACACCTCACATACCTCCACTCCACCATAGCATTTCTTACCTTCAATGGCTAGCATTGCCCGCAATTCCCGATTCAGCAGCTCATACCTTCGTTCTAAGTCATGTTCTTTTTCCCTAGGCAAGTTGCAAAAGTTCATCAATATGCTAATTACTAAATCATTAAACACTTTAAAGAACCTTTAGGTTACATTGATTTTAGGACTCATAACTGACTTTTCTCTTTAACTTTAAGCTACTCCAAACAAATGATACACAAACCTAAAACCTTCCTCAGGTTGAATATTTACTAATGCTGTTATTTTTCTTCCTCAATTTTGAATTGCACAGAGGTATATTTTAATCTGAAAATAAATAGTCTCATTCTTCAATGCTTCTTGTACTAAGTGCCAGATATAAGGCTATTTTGTCTATTTTGTCAAAGAGTTTTCATAGTTCACAACAAACATGCTTTTGTCTAGAACTCCGTATGAAAAGAACACAGAAACATGGCAGCACTACAAGTGCAAATTTAATATGGACACGGTTATAAATCTAGGATTGGTTAACTTTTGTGCTTCTTTATAATTCTTTTATCAAGTTCGGGCATAACAGAAATGACAGAAATAGCTGTTTACACTAAAATAAAACATGTAAGCCTGTTTCTTCCCACACTGGGTGGCATAATATAAGAACACTGCTAGTTAGCAAAAAGGAACAAACATTAGGTCCTATAGTAAATTAAATGCTAAAGACTAAGAATGCTTACATTTGGTTTAGTCTACATTTTACTGTAATTCTTGCAATTATAAAAAGGTCACTTCTCTGTAACTCATTAATCTTTTATCCCAAAATTTAGGGTAACATCATCTGTAGAAGACAAAGGTACTTTTGTCCTTACTAAGAGTTACTTTAATTTTTAACTTAGAATCTGATGTTAAATACATTTCAATTTATTTATAGGTACACCAAGTCTTTTTATACACAATGCTTTATTTCTTAAACACAAATATTGTTTATATTCATTGGCTTTCTGTATAGCAAACATATTTTCAGTATCTAGCACTCTATTTTTTAAATTCTTACTGTTCAGATAATAACTGGTTATACACTATTTTTTTATTTTTATATAAAATAGACTTTAATCTCTAAGGAAAGAAAAAGTTAAGTCTAATAAATATGAAACCCTAAGAAACCAGTAACCAAAAGCCTAAGATCCACTGATGTTGCAGGAAAAACAAGCAGTTATGAGTACTTACAGGAGAGAGAGCTGGTTCATTCTCCTTATTAAGGCATTTTTCTTATTAACTAACATAAACCATTCCTGCATCATAGCTTCTTCTTCTTCGGTGTTTCTTCCTATAATTCAGGAAGAGTTATTTCTTGTTATATGACATTTGCAGGCTGATAACTGTTTAGCACAACTGTTGTTTTTTCCTAATATAAAAACATTTTAGTTACCCCGATAGTTCAAATTAAACAGTTTATAACAACATAAGATTAAAGTCCAAGGCCTGAAAAAAGAAATTGATATTTAAAATTTCATAATCTTCTAAAATTCAATCTTCTAAAGCTGTCATTATTCAGCATGTCAAAATATACAGCCCTCCTGAACATATCTACAGATCATACTAACACTAACACAGTGTTAGTGTTAAAAGAAAAGTGTTCCAACTTTTAAATCCTCCCCAGAGGCTGATTTGTTATTATAGTTCAATGAGGAACTCATGGCGCTGACAGACATATGGTCATGATAAAGAAAAAATATTAAAAAATCATTATGAGAATTACAAGACTAGCAGGAAGATCAGAGAAGTCCAGAGATTTTGTGAAAGCTTCCACTTGTAACAACTTGTTGTTGTTTTTTCTTCTTTTTCTCCCCCAAAGTAAACTAAGACATACGTGCATATACCATTCTGGAAGTTATAGGGTAAACACTTGCAAATTATTTTAAATGACCAAGTTACAAAAAATGCCTATAGCTATCTGTGAAAAAACACATTATAATGAACATAATAATGTCAGTAAATCAGAAAACATTTGAATGGAGCGATGGTCTAACATTTTAGATTATAAACTTACTAATTGCACATTTCAAATTCACTTTTCCTAATATCCATTCCATCATCTACACTACTGCCCCCCAAAGGCCACTGTATCAAGGATTATAATATACAGTATGTATTTGATATTATTCATGTAGAAGTAGTCCACAATCATACTTAAAAATTTGCCCTAGCTGGTTTGGCTAAGTGGATAGAGGATTGGTCTGCAGACTGAAAGGTCCCAGGTTCGATTCTGGTCTGTGGGCTCGATCCCCAGTAGGGGGCGTGCAGGAGGCAGCCGATCAATGATTCTCTCTCATCACTGATGTTTCTATCTCTCTCCCCCACTCCCTTCCTCTCTGAAATCAATAAACATATATTAACAAAAGTTAAATATCCCAGCTAAGATTCAATATTCCAGTTAATTCCCTAAATTTTATTTTCATTGTGAGCAAGATATTTTCTTTTAACTTTCAAATACATTTAAAACATTTAAACAGTACAGAAGTATAACTGAGTAAAAAGTCAAGTCCTCTTTCACCAATCCCACCCCAACTCCCTTCCCCAGAAGTAAGTACTATTAAGGTTTAGCATGTCTCCTTCCAGACCACAGAGATAGCTGTCTATCACACACGAATATACCTCATCTATATAGATTCATACAGGTTTTTCTGTAATATAAGTGAGATCATATCACACCGGGGTGGGCAAAAGTAGGCTTACAGTTATGAGTACATGAAACAGGTTTATTCTTGTATTATTATTAATTATTGTAGTACTTATTATTATTAACCTACTTGTGCCCACCCCTGTATATTACCCAGTGATGTACTGTTGTCATATTGCTTGAAGATCTACTTCATTCTTTTAAATACTTAAATAAATTATGAATGTACCATTTAATTAACTATTTCTACATTGATATAAATTTGAAGAAAAATTTAGAATGAAAATAGAGTATAAAGAATTGTTCTGTGTGCAAAAGATTAAACATATACTTCAGAGCATCCCTGTGAAATAGGTATCTGTTGTTCATCATTAGGGAGAACAGTGAGGATATATGTCTTCACTAAATGCTGTTAAAACTTTATGGTAGGGAGCAGACAGGATAGATTCTTTTAGAGTATGAACAAAAGTCTTTATTGTTTTACAGTATTTTTAATCTCTCCTTTAGGGTAGCTGGTTTTGTATTCACTTTAGACCATGTGATGTCTTGACACTAGTCATGTGATATAGGCTGCGATAGGAACAAATCCCTGGGTAGCAACAAAAGAAGAAAGAGTAAAAAGAAAAAGCTGGGGAAAAGCTTGCAATTTGGAAAAAGGCCAATTGTACCCTGGTGAAGGCCTTTTTGATCATTGAAATCACACATGTGTGCAATATTAATAGGTGCAGTTACTATGATATTTTATTTTCTGATGAAAGACTTAATTCTTGTGTTTATAACCTAAGTAGCTTCTAAAAATACAGACATTAAAAGTTTGTTTTGAGTTTAACTTAACTTATAATTGAGGCTTTCAGGGAATACTAGAAGCAACTAGCCTACTCTTAAATTAGCATCATTTTCTTCAATGGAAGATTGCTTCCTTGACAGTAACAATATTGATGTGGTCTTATGTTATTTTCAGTTTAACTCATGCCTGGGTAAGGATAAAATCCCTCTCCCCTAATTGTTAGGAAATAACTAATAATACAGAGTTTTATGTTCAAAAGTAAATAAGCCTAACAATAATATGTAAAGACACATTTCACATTGTGACGTAGATTATATGAATTAACTGAAAAAACATATTTAAGGTTAAATCAATTATGTACCACAAATTCCTTATCTGAGATTGTACACAATGATGGAAATCTATACTTAGCATGGCAATAAAAAAATTAAATTTTCTTCTAACACATCATTACACTATTGTTTTCAGGGATTTAAAATTTTTTAAATTCAAAAAGCTTTTAAAAGCCAGTAAGTTGAACCATTACAAATTAATCCTGACTTTAATAACTGGTTAAAGACCCCTTTAGCTTTATAAGTAACAAAAAATATTAAAGCCTGTGATCACAGTGAGCTTTTCTCATTTCTCCTCTAACCATTTGTTATTTAATCCAATACTAGTAATCCAATTTGTCCATCAGACTTTTAAAGGGCAGAATGCAACTTCCTCAGCTTAGACACTTTTCAAAGTACAATATATTTTTCAAATGAATGCTGGATGTTTCATTTTTCCCAACTGTTCCTAGCTCTAATGCATGAGGAAAAAAAGAACAAGATGAACATTGTTCATACTGATTAAGTAAGAGCTCATTAAAGAGCTGTCAGTGCGGTACTTTGAATATGCATGAAGCATATAATCAGATCTAGTACCGTCACTAGAGGAGAATACGGTAAGTACAAAGGATTGATTTAATTACTTAGAGTGGGCTGTGGTGGTAAAGCAGTCTTGTTAGTGCAAAAAAGAAAAAGAGGCTGTATTCTGGCACTGTTAGAAAAAAAAGGCAGTTTTAGCTTCTGCCACAATACATAATCTCAGAATAAAGCACTTTACATTGTAGCTTAGAATGAAGACTGTCATTATTTTATAAAATGGCCATAAATAATTTTTTCTTGTTTAACCTTACCTGGTTAACTACTTCTATTTCAAAATTATTTTTGATTTGTACTTACCAGCTACATTTTTGTCATGTTAAGAGTCAGACACTGATACTTTTTTAAATTTAATTTTTTTAAATTTCAGGAACTGAAAGATTTAATATGTATTAAACTGAAAAATTTAATACATACTATTAAGGACCATTTTGAAATTTAAAAAAAATCAAAATACTACAGTTCAGTATACAGTTACTAAAATGTGAAACCATGGCTGAGTTGTTATACTTATTTTAAAACATAGCCTCATGTTTATTATACAACCAATAAAAACATCCCCATAACATTTAAAACTATAGACTAGCCCTAGCTGGTTTGGCTGATAGTGTCGGCCTGCAGACTGAAGGGTCCCAGGTTCGATTCTGGTCAAGGGCTCATGCCTGTGTTGTGGGCTCAATCCCCAATAGGGGGTGTGCAGGAGGCAGCTGATCAATGATTCTCTCTCATCACTGTTGTTTCTATCTCTCTCTCCCTCTCCCTTCCTCTCTGAAATCAATAATATATATATATTTTTAAAAGTATAGACTAATACAAACTCTGGTAATACTTTTTCTACTTTGTTTTCTTAAAGACTTCTGTTTTTTATTTTGCCTCCAGAAATGCAACGTCTTTTCTGACATTACAATGTCTTAAATTAATATCAGTTTTTTCTCTTAATCAATTATTGTAGCTGGAGTATAATTTGTATAAATTTATAAACAATCAAGAATAATGATAATGGCAGAAAAAGTAACTATGTAAATATGACTTCAAATCATTCTTCCTATAACATAAACAAAAACCATTTAATAGAAAACAGCATAAAACAGAACACTACACATTTAATACATGTTAGATGACTATAGTAACCACTTTTATATTCCATACCTAAAAAAAAAAGTACTTAAAGTCAAGATTTAATTTCATTCAAGAATTCATCAATGAATCTGTATGTAGTTTTCATTTCTTTTTTCGGAAGCAGTGTTTCAATGTAAATTTTTAAATGAATAAAAGTGATGTAAAAACCTAAAATTTTGAAACATTGTTTAAAAGACTGTCTACTAATTAACTTTCCTAATTAATCTTTCATCATAAAGTTATCTATTTAGAAAGATATATTTTTCGACAGTGAATTCTTTTTTTTTTAAAATATATTTTATGGATTTTTTACAGAGAGGAAGGAAGAGAGATAGAGAGTTAGAAACATCGATGAGAGAGAAACATCAATCAGCTGCCTCCTGCACTTCTCCTACTGGGGATGTGCCCGCAACCCAGGTACATGCCCTTGACTGGAATCGGACCTGGGACCTTTCAGTCCGCAGGCCGACGCTCTATCCACTGAGCCAAACTGGTTTCGGCGGACTCGACAGTGAATTCTTACATAAATGCAAAATAAGGAACAATACAATTTTAGCTGAAAAGAAGATGAATCCAATGGAAAAAAATGAAAACACAAAGATATAAAGAAACAATACAATTTTAGCTGAAAAGAAGATGAATCCAATGGGAAAAAATGAAAACACAAAGATGTAGACTTGTATATATAAACAAATTCAAAATTTTCCATCATGAAAACATTAAAAAATGCTGAAATCTTGCCATAGAACCATAGTGGATGGAGATGGCTGACTAGTGATCAGATCCATGGCCCTTAAAAGACAGAACACAGCAAACACAGCAAAGCCAAACCA